TAAAAGTAGTTCTAAACTCCTTGCCCTCGACACAAATGACCATTCCTACGCCACCCTCCCCCCTTTGCGTTTTTCTCCAATCCACAAACGACCACTTCCCATCCCCTCTGCCTCTTGAGTTTTTTTTCTATGTTTCAAAAACACTGTCCAAGAAGATGATCTGTTTAAGATGACCATTTTCTCCTCAAAAAGGAATGGTCGTCTTAGACAGGCCCAAATCTATCTATCTATCTATCTATCTATCTATCTATCTATCTATCTATCTATCTATAAATACAATAAAAAGACATACCTTTCTGAAGGAACAGTAGTTGCAGTAGTAGTGGCCGAATATCCAGTACCGGAACGAAGGGTTATCACTATTCCCCGAAAACAGAAAGAGTTCTCTCTCTTTTTCTCTCACACAAAAAAGAAACCCCGCACACACTCACGACTGGGAGTAGAGAAATAACACACACGCTGGTCTGATATTCTGGTGTCGTCTATTGTCCAGTGACTGTCCACCTGTGACGAACCGACTGGCCACAAAGGGACCGCCGGGAGGGATCCTTGTGTGTCAATCTTTGTTTGTACGCAGGTCTGTGTTGTGTTATCTTGTGCTCGCTTTCGTGGGAAAGTTCTGCTGGGGGGAAGGAGAGAAGGAAGGAAGGAAGGAGGGAGGAAAGAAAAGAGCGAGGGTGGGAGGGAGGGCGGGGGTGATGGCGTAGCGTCCTTTGATAGCTGGCTGTCGCCTGCTCTGCTACTTCCGCCCCGGCTCAAAAAGGTATCGCACACATTATATCCACACACACAACACGCACACACGCAAGTACACATGTACACATTGCCACTCCCGTGTGTGTGTGTGTGATATGTGTGGGTGACTGAGGACTTGACGTGTATGAGTGTGTGTGTGTGTGTGTGCCCGGCAAGAATCCATTTTCTCCATTCAGCCCGATGTATTTGCGTTGATTAAAGGCGTCTTCACATAATAACAACATGGCTAACCAGGACACCTTATTGTTCAGTTGACTCTTTACTGTATTGAAAAGGACGTGAAAATTATACAGTGATCACTACCTAATTCACTCTTTGCGAGGTTGAAAATGGTTTGAAAACTACACTATGATCAATGGCTAATTGACTCTTTACATTGCTGAAAATGGTGTGAAATCTATACAGCGATCATTGGCTAATTGACTCTTTACAGTGTTGAAAATGCTGTGTGTAGTTTTATGCGCTGAAAAACATCTTGGGAAGCAGTGATATTGTTTTTCCTTACCAAAAAAAAAAAACACCAAAAAAAAGAAAAAAAGGGACACGTTTTCATGCATCATGTAAGCCAAGTAAGTGTCATCAACAACAATAACAACAACTTCAACAGCAACACCACCACCAACAACAAAAACAACAACAAACAACATCACCACCACCACCAACAGCAACAACAACTTCAATAACAACTACAAAAGCAAGTGACATATCATCAGCAAACAATCAGCAGCAACGACAACGAAAGCCGACAATTTATAAAAAACATTAGAATCGTCAACAGCAGCAACAACAACAACAATTAATTACAACAACACTCGCCTCGTCCATCCATCCTTCTCCCCCCTCTC